AAAATGTATCTCTGTTTCCAATATCATACTTCTATATCGATAGCTACGGGTGAAGAGTATTTCTACCGAACTTTATCTCACACCTCTATGTTCTTAGTTCTCTTCTATCGCTGTTTGAATTTGCACAACCTTGAGCGTCACGCTAAAATTTGCAGTAGTTCGAAAGATATAGCGCACAATGGAAAAATATTTTATGTACATTGGCATGGAAGTCCAATACTTCTAATAAGTGATTGACGTTTCATAATGATCAACTCAAATTGTAAATAGTTGATCTTTGTTCATTCAGTACACAGTAAATAAGCTGAGCAGTGGAAATTTTCTACCTTAAATAAACTGATAAATCATGTGGCTACAAACTACTCACATATTGTCGCTTATCCTAAAAGAACTAATAATATAACCTATGAAACATAAAAGTTGACCATGGGATGTGCAGCTCATTGAATAAGCATCTTGTTGTGTCGCCATGCCAAAACCGGATGAAACATTCAAACGTTTTTGGCATATAATTGAAGCCGAGAGGCAACTTATGCGAGAGGCACATAAATCTGATGATTCGGCTCCTGACTTGTGTAAGTGTTTCAATGTGAACATAAGCCCAATTTATTGCATAACCCACGTGATTTCTCCATCAAGACATAGACCGCAAGAAAGAAAACCGAGCATATCGAAGCAAGACGATAAGACAGGTTTTGAAAAGTGTCACCTTCAAAATGCATTCTCGGAAGTCATATTTTTCCCAGATGAAGATTAGTATAGCTTCTCACTTGAGGTTGGTAGTGGAAAACCGATAGACTTCATTAAATATAGTTTTTTTCACATTTATGCAGCATCTGGATGGTACAAGCCCAATGCAGAATTCATTCAAGTATCACCTAGCACTTGAGATTTGAATGGAAACGAAAACCTTGCCCTGACTTAGAAACAAAGATAAACTAGCTACCTTGACACTAGTCGTCAGTGGCCCGGGTGCGGCGAAAGCTGTTTGACAGCCAACTTGGTGAACACCATGGAAAGATGACTGTCTCTGGTGCCCAAAAATAAAGAAGGACACATAGAAAAACGACAAAATGGCAGTAGAATACCTGAATCATATTCGAGACCCGATTTTACAACTGAATTCTAATTACGTTTTTTACTGAGGCTTTGTTATTTTACAACTGGTGCACCAGCAACCAGCGTCGTCGAAGTGGAGAAATCGTATGTTTTAATGTCATTCGACCCATAGAAGTAAAAGCACGAGTGGATATTAGTAAAGATACGTTGCGTCTGACGTGGGGCAAAATCATATTCAATTCCGTGAATGCGGTTCGAAATACTAAGCGTCGGGGGTGGTTTGCTTCAACGCACACTGTTTAATATTGATCCTTATTTGGTCGCATTTTCGAAGAAACCGGAAGTTCAACAGATAGACCGTATCTAAACACCTACAAACTGTATATAGATTATATATTCAACACGTAACCAATTACAGAGAACTGGTAAATGTGTCACAACATATGAACAGAAAGAAATTTGAAGAACGTATTCATGGGTTGTGTGGGCATGTTACTTTCCGGTTGCCGTGGCCGAGGAAGGGGGACAACCTCGGAGTTCTCACCCGAAGCCTTTGGTTAGAAAGTCAGACGTGCAAGACAGCAGGACGGAGCTCAGAGTCCGAAGTCCATTGGGGACCGGTGTCCAGTTCACTGGATCATACGCCCTTTGGACGGGATCAAACGTCCAAGGTGCCCAATACACCTCGATGCCCAATCGATCCGGTGACCACTGCCACAACCGGGAAGGTGTGCGTGTGGTTCTTACGCCTCCTTTTTTGGTTTGGAATCAGGGTTTTTGGTCAACTCCCCTAGGTGAACTGCCAATGGTTCACCAATCCGGTTATAGCCCCAGATTTCGGCTTTTCGTCCTCTCACTTTGATGGGAAAACACCTCCGCCACGAGAAGGCAGTGAGCAAGGCTTCCTCGGCAGAGGTTATTTGAGACGCTTGCTCATATAAGAGCATTTCGCGAGATGTAAGGAAATGGTGACCAGTCACAATCCTAGACACCCACCCCGACCATAATGAGGCTTTCGAAGGCACACTAACGGTAAGTAAACGCGGGAATTAACATAGTCTGAAGGATGCCCATCACAGTATTGAGGATAAACACAATTTGGTGACACAACTGTTTTTCAGTAATTCATTCTAAAGCCGTTTACAGATTACAAAAGTAACACTGGAAGACAGATCACAGACAGTTAGACACAACACCAATCATGCGTTGGAGTTTGTCATGGTTAACTAGCTTTTGTTATTTGATTGATTTAATTAGCTTAAGGCCTCAGGGTGGTTGGATTACGGAAACAACCGGACCTACTCAATCACAGGCCATGGGAGTTGGGGTGACTGAACCAAACGCATTTGGGCTTCGATTATTGATAGAGTGCGCAGCTGAACACCCTTGCACTTAGTATGGGAGACATGATAAACATCTATGAAAGCAACGTCCGGATTTATTTGATGTCCGGTATCGACTGAGTGGGCTAAGATGGAGGTGAAAACCCCAACCACAAGAATCGGTCACATAGGTCGTGTTAGGCTCCCTGGTTGGGGACCTCGGGATGATCGTAACCGATGGTTAAAGACACTGTGTGATATGGCTGAGTGTCGCAAACAGTAGGGTTCGTGCATCTCAATTTCCTTCCAATATTAGTCCACTGAACTTCTCCATTTTTTATTCGACTTTACTTTCAACTTTCTTTTTCTTCTCGTACTACTTCATCCCAATATGTAGACAAAAGACAGCAAACAAAACCGGCGCGAAAGTGCACGGTTAATGGTTGTGCAAACTGAAAATGTTTATTGATCGGGTTTAGCCTAGTCTTAACCAGCGTGAGTGATGCTCTTTGACCTGAGTAGTTGTCTGGCGTGCCTTTCAACCCACATAAGATGCGCCACGAACACATCTGAATGTCAAACTCTTAACCATGATTAGTGTCATGTACCATGTGTGATCTGTTTTCCAGATTTATC